CCGTGTTAGTTTTTTTGTCGCTTTGGGGCAATGCAATGGTGGTTTTATTATTAGAATTCCATCACACATTGCCCTGGCAGCATTTGTCGTATTTTTTCTTCCTTGCCTTGACTTCAAAAAAGTATCAACGCCTCCGGCGCCCAGCACACACGTCAGCAATAATTTAGGTTCCGCCCACCTTTTCCTCGTCAGCAGGAAGTGCCGCCACCTGTCAGCTGCTGTCACGACTGACTGACTATCTGGTCGGGATTTTCGCTCACGAAAACCTGAGGTGTGTCGGAGTTGTGTTGGTCAGTTTTAAGTCGTTGTAATAGCTAGTTCATAAGCTAAGTTAGGTTCAAATGGGGTTAAGTTTTTAAAAGCTAGGGATGTCATCAACATCTTCCCTCGGCGAGGAGCTTGTTCGCCTCCTCCTCCACGACGGGGCGGAGCTTCGTGCTCGTTTGACAAGTCGAGAGCGAATATTTTCGCACCATCAACCCCTTTGCCATCCGTCGAGAACCTGAGCTCCACGTCGGCAAGGTGGATGCTGCCAAACCGCCCCGCCCAGGAGCCTCCCTAGTGAGGGCTTTTTCGTAACATCAGGTCGAAGTCTTGCTCAAATTGAACAGTTTTCTGGGCCGGGTGGTTACCATTGTCCGATCGGGCCACCCAAACACCATCCAGGCGGTCATGTACAGCCCGGACCTCACCGAGCTGTCGGACGAGGAGCCGCTGGAGGAGCTGACCGACCGGGGTGTGTGCGAGGTCATGCGCCTACTCTCTCGCCGTCCCGGCCTGAGTCCCAGCCCCTGGTCCGCCTGCGATTTAGAGGGCTAAAGCTCCCACGTGCCATCCACTGCGGATACCTCACGGTCCCAGTACAGGCCTGGGTCCCTCCTCCCCAGCAGTGCCGTGCGTCCCAACGGTTCGGCCACACTGATCGGACCTGCCAGGTCACGCGCTCGACCTGCGGCCGCTGCGTCAATCCCCACCACACGCGGGAGTGTGACGCGGAAAACCCGCGCTGCACCTCATCCAAGACCCCGCACGGAGCTTGAGACCGCCGCGCCTGTGCCGCTTGACTTGGCTTGGCTTGGCTTGGCCAGTGCCAGGCGGCGGCATCGGCCCTCGCACCAACGAGAGCTCCAATCTCAGGAATTCCCACGTCGCAGGAGGCATACCCTCGCTTTTTCCCTCTGACAACTCCTCAGGGTGGCGACGGCGGGAGCGCGTAATGGGTTGGACTCGATAGGGGCGAAGCAAGGATGTCTTAAAGACGGGGGGAGGGGGGCACGCAACATTGTGGGGCCCCTGGAGTTTGGGGCCCCTCCAAAAAATATCCTTGCATTTCGGTCATTACATTTAAGACAAGTCGTAGGTATAGGTAGGTATATATATATATATATATATATATATATATATATATATATAAACATATATATATGCGTATATATACACATACATATATATATATATATATATATATATATATATATATATATATATATATATATATGCATATATATACACACACACACACATATCTCTCTCTCTCTCTCTCTCTCTCTCTCTCTCTCTCTCTCTCTCTCTCTCTCTCTCTCTTTCTCTACTTCTTCATTTATTTAACAAACGCGGAAACCCAGCTTACTGTGCACAGCCCTTTAAAGCATAGACGTGCTACGCATGCATGCACATCGGGCTCACTCATTCTCCACAGATCATCTTAAGTGCTGTGATTTTGAGGCCAAGTTTTTCGGAACAACAGGCAAAACAAGCTTGAGTTAGCCGCTGACGAACATCAAAACCAAGCATGGACTTGACTCCTAGCTTATATATTTACGGCTAGCCGGCTGGGTGGTGTAATCAGCTGATGACTGATGACTAAAGCATAATTTTTATTTTGTTTTAAAGGAGCACAACATATCCAAGCATTCAAAATATGTTAAGAACATGATGCACTAGCATAATAAGTGTCACACACTCAATAGCCGATGGAAATGACACATACGACGACAGCGGCATGTAAAATTACGTTCGGCAGGCGTGCTTAAAAATTCATTGGCACATATTCGACTGCTGCTCTAAGGCGAAAGCACCGAGACCAATAGCGACGGAACCTCAGCGATCATGGGTGCCGCAGGAGGGCAAAAAGTGGCTCCCGTCAACAAGAATAGGGCCCTCAGAGCAAGCAAAACGAGCCCAAGACTAACATGGTGGGCCCCTGAACGATCGGTAGTGCCTCGGCAGGCTGACATATAAAATCCCCCGCCGTAGCACAGGACCTTCCGATCAAAGTAGAAACATCCAAGACCATGAATGAGCACACCTGTGCGATCAAGAGTGCACGGGCAGGTTAACAACACGTGCTTCGATTGGAGTGAAGAGCCCTCCGCAAATGAGACCAAAGGGAGAGAGCCCTAGATCAAAGTTGAAAGCCCCTGAGCACCAAGCGTCTCCGTGCCTTTCCTTATAAGAGCCCTAACAACAGCACAAGGCCCTCCAAGCAAGTAGAAAGAACCCGAGACTTATTGGGAGGGCCCCTCAGCAACTGAATGTACCCTGGCGTATGGAACCCTGGAAAAAATGTGAAGAGCCTTTCGGGCGAATAAGAAGCATCCGTGGAGGAAAACCTGATCGATCAACAGTGCTCAGGCATAGAGGCAGATAGCGTCCTAGCAGCACATTGGGCCCTTCCAGAAAATGCAGAGAGATCAAGGTCAGCGTGGAAAGCTTCTTAGCGATCAGATTGACCCGGCAAGTGGGCATATGGGGACAGGCAAGCAACAGCGCAATGCCTCTAGACGGCGTAATGAGCTCGCAAATTTTTCCCAAGCAACACTTTCTCAGTCAGCGAAGAATAAACATCGTTTACTTGTGAACTCTTGACTTTTGCTTTTAATGGCTCTAAGTCGTCTGTAGGCCCAAAGGCATCCAATGTTGTTGTGGTTTTGTTGTAAGAAAACTGCGTCCGTCCGGCCGGTTATGGGCCCCTTCGGAGCCTTAAGGTCCCCTCGGCATGGTCCATGGGACATGGTCCTGTAACTCCCCTCCCTCTCTGCATCCGCCACCGGCCCGAGTAGCTGAGCAGATGGGCCCACCAAGAACACAGGGTCATCCATTTAAATAAGAAATATTCACGACGCAAGGTGCAGCGCTCCGAAAGATCGAGCGCGTCCAAGCAGGATAACGTATAGGGCCCCCGTCAGGAGTGTGGGGCCCTCCATTCAAATAGGAAGTACCCAAGACCCAATATAGAGGGCCCCCCGGATGATCCAGTGCGTCAGAGCAGGTTAGCAAATAGGGCCCTCGTCAAGAACGTAGGACCTTCCATTGCAATAGGAAGCACCCAAGACCCAATGCAGAGAGTCCTCGAATAATGAAATGTTTCTGAGCTGGTTAACAATAGGGCTCCTAACAAGAGCGTAGGATCCTCCATTCGAATGGGAATCACCGAAAACCCCATGTAAAATGATAAAATGTGCCCGAGCAGCTTGTTAGAAGCGGCCCGACAAGAGCGCGGGGCCCTCCATTGAAATGGGAAGTAGCCAAAACCCAGTGAGGAGGGCCCCCGAATGATGGGGCATACCAGAGCAGATTCCTGTTCGGGTACACTCCATCTTTCGGGGGCCCTCCGCACCGGGTTTTGGGTACTTCTTGTTTGAATCGAGGGCATTACATTCCCGTCGGGGTCCCTTCTGAAAAGATTGAGCTTCCAGATTCAAATTCAGGATTCAGATTCATACCCGAGCAGATCAGGTGGCCCGGACAGAGCCCTAAATTCAAACACCAAGACCCAATATATAGGGCCCCGACCAATCCAGTGTGGCCGAAACGGCGAAAAGATGGGGTCCCCGGCAAGTGCGTATGGCCCTCCACTCAGAAAGGAAGTACCCAAGACACGATGTAGAGGTCCCCGAATAATCGAGTGCGCCAAAACAGCTTAGCAGATAGGAACCCCGAAAAAAGCAGAGAGACCTCCATTCAAAAAGAAAGTACCCAAAAATAAGATGTAGAGGTACCCCACGATCAAATGGGCCCGAGCATTTTATGAGAAGGGGCCCGACAGGAGCGTAATGCCCTGCATTCAAACAAGAAGTACCCAAAACCCGGTGCGGAGGGCCCCCGAAAGATGGAGTGTACCTGAACAGGTTATCAGATGACTCCGATTGCAGCAGAGGGCCCTAAATTCAAACACTAAGAACCAATATGCAGGGCCCCTTCCCCCCCCCCCCGAGCAATCTAGTGCGGCCGAGGATGCGAACAGAAGGAGCCCCTGACAAGTGCATAGGGCCCTCCATTAAAATAGGAAGTACCCAAGGCCCAGGGCCCCAAACGATCAAATATGCCCAAGTAGGTTATCAGATAGGCCCCACAAAAGCATAGGGCCCTAAGCAAGAGACAGATAATTGGAAACGCCCTAGACCAATATATAAGGCCAATGAGCATATCACAAGTGTGTGGGTAGGTTAACTGACACCCACGTAAAGGGCCCCCGAAAAACCGAGAATACCCCGGCAAGTTACGATATGGGACCCCGGCTACAGCTCACAGAGCCTTTCTGGTGGATGGAAGGAATCCGTGGGAGGGTCCATGATTGACAAGAGTGTCCGGCACGCTAACAGGAATGAACCCAACATTAGCACAGGACCCTCCGAGCAAATGCAAAGAAATGAAGGGCAACGGGCGATGCTCCTTAACGATCGTAATGATCCCGCAAGTGGGCATATAGTTCCCCCGGAAACAACACGGGGCCTCCAGACAGTGCAACGAGGCTTAACATGTTCAATTCACAACTTTTCCAATGATTGAATAATTTGTTTGACTTCTCATAGGCCTTTCACTTTCGCTTATAACTGTTTTTGGTCGCCTGGAGGTTCAAACACCCCGTTTTGTTGCGTTTTTTTTGCTGTTAGTCCACGCAGATGACAAGGTGGCAGCACTTCATGGCGACGGGAGAAGGCGGATCCCAGATCATGAATGGCGCGCGTGATGGGAGATGGGGGCGTTGATACCTATTACAAAGTTGGGACAAGCAAAAAATACAATGAATGCTACCAGGGCAACGTGTGATGGAATTCCAGTTACAAGAACACCGCCACATGCCCCACAACAAAAAATTAATTGATTCGGAGCAAGTCTAGAACGCGGCCGCGGCAAATCACGCGGCAATTAAGAAAGGGTTAACCAAGGCCATGGGACAGAGGGTTGACCAAGCAAGTCTTCCTCATGTCAGCATTCTTTCTAATGTCGTCTTTGAGAGCTATTCCAAATGCTGTAGAGTGACGAACGAGTGGGGTTTGAACGAGTGGGGTAGGGCAATAGATGCATTCCAGCGCGCATGCGATCAACCAGCATCTGCACCGCAATTTTCAAATGCCAGTTGATGGGAACTGGATGGGGTCAGGGCGGTTGTATCAGGTTGTCTGCATCCAGTTTGTGTGGATTGTGGGCAATTTCGGTGGCCTTTGATATCGCCCAAGATTGCCATGTTCTGGGAAGTGCAGTGTACTGACTGACGCGTCGACCCGCGAAGGTTTTGTGGCGATGTTTTGTGGCTTGCAGCCGTGGTTCGCAGCGTGGGGCTGCATGCAAGCTGGTTTCTCGATTGTTGACGTTTTTGGTGCTCCATGAAGTGTTCAAGGTCACTCATGCCGTGGTAAGGGTAGATATTTGCAAAGCTGCATCAAATGGAGAATCTTCCAAGCCATTCAGTCCCATAGGCTTTGAATCGGGGCTGTCAACAATAGGTTCTGTCGGCCGGTGAATTCCGGTGAGATGCCTAACGACACGTGTGAGGTAAAACGTGATTTATTGTCATATGGCATGTTGACCTGAATGTGTGAACTAGAAGCATTGAAAAATTGTTGTGTGCATCAATTGGTAATAAGTGTTTCTTGTTAGATTTGTTTGGTTCTCATTTAGGAACTTGCAGGGCCTGCTCCCGCAATATACTGTGGATGTGAGCTTGCCTGGCATCATGAAGCATAAAGATGTTCAACTGGTAAAAAACTTGAACAGTATTTTGCCAAATGCATAAGCTTACTTTGTTCTGGGGCCATGAAGTGGAACATTCCCAGTGAGTCATCAGTGGTACTTCATGTTGGTTCACTCAATTAATTTGATATTAAAGCATTCAGCTTGGCATGCATGGAGCACGTTCTCTTTGCGCAATTTTGTGTGTAGGCAGTGAATGTAATCCATACCAGCTTCTGTATTTTACATTACCTGCTTAAGTTAAAAAGATTTGTGTGCATGTGTTGTGTAGAAATTAACAGATATCTTTTTCAGACAAAGCTGGAGAGATGAATGGGCATATTGTAGTGCCAGGTGAAATTGCTGTGGACTTTTGGAAGGAAGATGCTGCTGTAAGAAGTAATCATATATAAGTGCTTTGCTGTCTGAATTTTTGTGGAATACCTTAGTTGACAATAGTTTACATTTCTGCCCTATGCTTTCCTTTTTCAGAAATGGATAAATAAGGGCTTTTTTGCATGCTCATGGCTTTCCAGCATATGTAAGAATGTAATTGCCTTGCTCCTGTTATATGTAAAACTAACTACATTGATGATGTTTTTCACTCAATCTTGTACTGGGGATTTCTTGATGTGCCTTTCACAATGGCTGCACAGAGAGCAGAGACACTCACTGCCTGCCTTTTACCTGCTATATAATGTGTATTTGTATTTTGCAGAAGTACTTCTTCCTGACACATTGCCACTCAGATCATGTCAGTCCCAGACTGCAAAGGTGGCAACAGAAAATCTACACATCAGAGCTGAATGGTCAAATAATTCATATGCTATATCATGTGAGTAACTAGCTAGTATGAATGCATTGTGTGCTCCTGCAACACACCTATATTTTTGACATTGTCATGTTTTTGGCATTTCAGTGTTCTCAAGCAATCCTCATGTTTGCTTGATGTCAAATGCCTTTTACCTGAAGGCCATTCTGAATTGCCATTTACTGTTCCAATGAATGCGTACATCATTGTTGTTTGATGTGCATTTCAACAAGGTATGTATTGGAAACACCTAAGCATGATGAGATGCAGTTGTTTGATATTGCTGGCACATCTTTTATTGGTTGATGATAAGGGGATCTGTGTGGAGAGAGAAAGCATCAGAGAGATAACATGAATGTTACCTGGAAGTTCATGATCTGCCATGGCAAGTATCACTGTGCGTTAGAGTCATGCTGTAGTACAAACAATCAATGGATGAGAGACCCAGTTCTAGCTGCCTCTGTGCCGCTCTGTCGTGACATTGTCTGTGCTGCCCTGTCATGACGTAGCCCGCGCTGCTCTGTCGTGACGTGGTTTGTACCGCTCTTATGTGAGGCATCTGGTGCTGTGACATGATCTGTGCCACTCTTAAGACGCAGTCTGTGCCACTCTATCGTGAAATAGTCTGTGCCACTCTGTCGTGACATGGTCTGTGCTGCTCTGTCATAATGTGGTTTGTGCCGCTCCGTCATGAGGCACCGGGTTGCCGTGACGTCCGTGCCACGCCGTCCAGGTGCCGGAACACCTGCTGGTGACGCTGCCGCTGGGTGAGACGGTTGGCCTGGGGGTCGGCGCCGACGCCTTCCAGGTCACGGCTATGGACGCCGACCACTGCCCTGGCAGCGTGGTGCTGCTCTTTCAAGGTCAGTGACTGACTACCCGGTCCGTACGGCCGGTCACCGCCGTGACTCCCGCCGCCCCGTCACCGCCACTGGTGTGCCAAGCCGTCGGACTGCATTACGCCGTGCCTGCTGGGCCGGCGTGTAATGTCCGTCTGTGAAATGGTAGTCCTCGGAAGCGCGCTTTTATAGTACCTTAGTGCCGCCCCACACTGTGCGTTTGTTACGCGCCGCGGCGCGGCGCGACACGACGGGATGCGACTCCATGCGGCTGGACGCGGACCGACGGACCGATGCGGCTTAACGCGAACCCATCCGGTCGACGCGTCCCGATGCGGCTGGACACAGACCGACGCGGACCGCTGTGATTTATGCGGACCGACGTGGACCGATGCGGCCCGATGCGACTGTTGTCTGGCTGCCGTGTGATAACTGAACGGCGTCACTCATACGGTTGGTTGCCATGGACGCCATGTAACTAACATCGCTTTTCGTCTTTCGGTTTTTTCAGGATTGGGAGGGCGAATAACATTTCCTCTGTTGACCACTTTATTGTTAATTCCATCCTACAAGTACTTATAAATACTTTCAACATTCAATGATCACAGGCGCTTAACAAGCGCTCGGGTGGGGGTCAGTTTGACCTGGGAACCTCAGTGTTTGACCGAAGTAAGTTCACGTACAGGCCAATGCACCCTTTGAGTTTGGTGTCTCTAGCTCTCTTAGTTTCTGAGATCTGGCGGGGGGGGGGGGGGGGGTAAATTGAACGCCACCTGAGCGAAGGGTATCCCACCGGCCACTCGGGCGTGTATTAAACATACAGTTGATTGGCAGCATATGACCGGGGAAGGGGACGCGTCCTTAGGCCCAAATGATCATCATCAAACTTGCAGTTCCTGCTTCAAAGGAAGGAGCGCAAGCCTCGATGCTTTGTCCATTGTATGAGCAAGGACAGGCGCACGGGAAAATATTCGTTTTTAGATGAATGCTAGAGATGAAAGCGAGCTACTCAGATACGTTTTTCACTTGCATGAGGATGAACTCAACTGTCACCCACATGAACCCAGATGAGGACGGACCGAATATGTAGGCATGTTTCCCTATCAGATCTCCATGAAGGGTCCATGCCATCTGCTCCCGTTGTTGAGTCACCGCCCCCCCCCCCCCCTTCCTTCAATAACAGATTAACGTCAAGGTCTTTACCATTGACGTGAATCAGACCAGGGGGTGCTGAAGGAGATCATCCCCCTTCCAAATCGGTTTCGGACCGTCTCACTGCTTTTTACAAAGTGGCTTGGAATCAGTTTTGATATCAAAACGGTGAGTCGCGCGGCACGACGCGAAAAGCAGACTTCAAGCCACTTTTGGTGACTTGCCAAAAGTGGCCGCATCTGTCACGGGATACCGAAAAATTTTTGCATTTGCATGCGCCAAGTTGTTCTTGTTTGAATGGAAAGAAAGATGTGGGAAGTTTAAGTGACGAAGACACCTCTCAGAGGCTGCGCAGACTGTTTTCTTACCTGTTACCATTTTCCAGCATTGAGCCGGACAGAGCCGCATGTCGCCGTTTCGAGTCACGCGGCTGTCGCGCCACAGTCGCGCGCACGACAGCCGTACGACGGCCGTGCGGCAGCCGTACGACAGCCGTGCGACATTGGTGTCACGCTGCGCCGCATGACAAAGCGCCAGTGTGTTGCCTCCCTTACGCTGCGCATTAATGCTCCACAGCTCTGTGCTCTCTCACCGTGTATTTGCATAATGACACGGTTATGTGCTGTTGGTAACTTTTCTTTGAGGTGGATTGCGTTCTCGATCCTCGTCCCTTGGGATAGTTGATGTGTTACGGACGAAATAACAGCCCATCGCATATCTTTTTATTTCAGCGGCTCACTTCGACCATATGTGTATCGTTTCGCCTGTCGTTTTAGGGTGACCTTTCTCCTTATTTAGTGCTTCCTAACTAGTATTTATGTCTTTGGCTATCTGTTTCTCTCACGCCTGCCGGAATCGTGTATGCTGTATTTCCCTTGATCTGTCCGATACATCTCCGTCACCGACGCCGGCCCCGCCCGGACGACGCCGGCCTGCTGTCCAGATGCCTCGTGGCGGCGGCCTGACCTTTTCGAAGGGCCCGCCGCGCCAGTGCTCGAGGGATATCGAAGTGGGACAGTTGGCCGCTCACCCAGGCCCCTGCTCACATTCTCAACCCCTGCTCCATCTTCGGTCATCAACGCTGCTTTGTATTTGTTTTAGTTTATTGTCTTTCAGCATCCTTTGGCAGGATTGCAACTCAGGTAGTTAGTATCAAGTTTAGTCCTCTTGGTTTTATACGCAGCAGGTAATGTTGTGACACTCCGGTCACCTATGTGCACGAGACGCGAACAAAAATTATGGGAAAACAACATTCGTTTACCCACAGTGCTAACTGTTATGTTGTCAATGGGTCCCTGTTCCCAGCTGGCCGTCGGGTTATGAACGTAATTTTAGCATGGCCATTCGTCTTCTCAGTGGCCGTTCTCGCGATACCACTTCAGTATTTTAGCATGCGTCGCTGAAAGTGTCGTAAACGAGGGCATTCTTCGGCAGGTCGCTTCGGCACCATTCTGTACACGGGCGATTTCCGGCGCGGGCCGAGTCTGCTGGATGAGCCGGCGCTGCGCTATGCCATCACAAACGGCGGCATAGACCAGCTGTACCTGGACAACACGTACTGCTCATCCGAGTGTGTCTTCCCGCCACGACAAGCTGTCATCCAAGACGTCATCAAGTATCTGCGGTAGGCAAGACTACTTTGGATTGGAAGGGAAAGAAGGGAGCAGGTGATGTAGCATGCCATGAGGTCCACAGTGGCCGGCTGCATTTACTCTCTTTTTCGAGCTTCTTGTATTCCAACCGTAATAATGTTAAACACTTAAAGTGATTGGGTTACGCTGCGACCAGTATGCGTTCTCTTTAGCCCCCCCCCCCCCCCCTTTCTCCTCCCAACCGTCGAACTGTATGCCTTGCGTGATGGATTGCCCCGTGCGTTAGCGTGTCCTGGAGTAACCCTTTTTCGAAAAACAGGGATGCTCGAGGCTAGTCGGGTTTTTCGGTTCAAGGCGAGTTTAGTCAGGTCGCTTTCTCAATTTTGCACTTGTTAACGGATGCACAAAGAAGAGCTTGAAGGGAGTAGTGGCTTTCATTTGAATGGGGTTTTGGACCGCAATAGCCACCTTGAAGATCATCAGTTTACAGCCCTGCCCTTCTTAAGACCTAAACCTCTGGTTCCTGAGCTAAACGCTTGCAAAGATGTGCAGACTTTCGGGGAGACTGTTTCGGGGTCACCCAGGCATCCATGTCACCATAATAACGTCATTCAAATCCTGCCATTCCATTAGCCACGCGGCGATCAAGGCCACGGAAAATACAGTCGTCTAGTAGATCATTTTGGCGTTTATGAGCACGATTTTCAGATATAACGGCGTCAATTGGCTCTCAGTCATGTTGTGCAAGGCACGATGACGTTCAAACAGTTGTGTATTCAGACGTATGTTTAGTAGATGGATAAACTGTGTTGTCCAGAGCAGCGTTTTCCACTTTAAAGTGAAAAGGCTGTTAGAAATAAACTCACCAATGTTTATAAGTGAGCTTATTTTATCATATCCGATGCTTGCTTCAATATCCTTGAATGTGGAGCATTCCCTTAAAAGCTCGATAGTTGTAAGTTCTTAATGCCCCGGGCCGGCCAGTATGACGTTATAAGAGTGGTCATGAGCATCGACTTGAACGCTTGAAACAGTGTTTAGCGCTCTCGCACACATTTTCGACTGCAATGTCTAGCTGATGGGTCACTTAAGCGACAAGGAATACGAATAAGGAGGGAGAGGTAGCCCAGCAGTGCTGAAAATGGAAAAGATTGGAAACTGCGTTAAAATGGGCATCAAACATCGTTGCGACAAAAGTGGTTGGATGGTTTGTGCCTAGATATGTGAGGTAAGCACAGCGCATTCCTCTTTTACTCCACCTGGCCTTCCTCTGACCTTTCCGTCCTAGGTTGGACGTCGACCAAAAGAACAGAAAGCGTTAAGTAATGTTAAATACAATTAGTTTCGCGAAACAGACCTTCATGATGCAAAGCTGCTTCATCAAATGATTGTTATAAACACGCATGCCTGTTTACACATCTAAGTGTATTCGGTGCATGCTTATTAACTGCGCATATATTCTACCTGTGGGCTTCCACCTGTTGCAGAAGTCCCAACTGATAACTGTCACTAACTACAATGCCAGCGAAGATCTCAAGCGCTTACATACCGCTCTCTGGTAAATCATTGTATTATTTGCGCACCGCTCAAGGGCTCGATTAAACATATAGCGTTGTTGGTTTCCCATTCAGTGGTTGGCTTGCTTAGCCAGCTGCTAGTATCAATATGAAAAAGCTGGAAAACCAGCCAAGAGAATTGATCTACCATATTCATCACTTCCCACTCCGAGTTGACGAATGGTGTAGCGTTTTCAAAATCATTCGTCATGTTGTTTTTCATAACCGCTTACGTCACCCAAAACAGACAGAACACACCGTCTCGCCCCTCGAATGGCGATGCATCATGACCAGCGCCGCCCCGACCACGGGGCTGTCAACCGTCCGGCAGCGCAGCAGATCCTGGTATGGTTTCAGGTCATCCATGGGGCGTCAGCGGACATCGGTGTAGACAGCCAAGCGGATACACTGTTCGCTGACGCCCCTAGGAGAGACATGAGGCTGTTGGACGGTTGACGAGGCCGTGGTCATGTGTTAGCTGTAATATGTTGGCTGTCATGTGTCGCCGCGTGACTTGTTCTGCCCGGTTTCGGGTCTGGTTTTCAGCGGTAATGAGAAGGCAGCCATGGCTCCGACGCTGTTTAGTCGCTACCGAATGATGCTGAATGGTGTTCGACCAGTGGTAGCTTTCCGTTATGTAGTCATTTTGAGCGACGTGCACAAGTTTTTAATGATGTTGCGTAGGAGGGTACGTCAGTGATTAAGATCGTCACAAGCACTGCAGACTGCGACAAGGATCAGCTGCAGTGGCTGCGGGAGGTGGGAGCCTTCCGGTAGAAGAACAGCGTGTTTAATTTGCGTGCAACGGACGCACTTCGATGTGTCACGACGTACAATTGGCGCTCACAACAATGCGTTGATGGAGTAACGGTGGACAGTGAAGATCGATTAGAAACTATAAGGTTATTCCACATATCCTAACTCTTTTCTCCTGGCCGAGGGCAAGCAGACGATAGCAAGTTGGAAGCAAGGTCGGATTGGGTTAAAGAGGGTTCAAATGTGCTCACATCGCATTTATTATGAACCATTGAGCCACCTTCCACTAACCAGCCACCAGCCGCCCAGAAATGAGCGGAAGTTGCATAAAAGTACCGGACTTTTATTTGTGCGCACCCCTGCACATGCCTACATTTTGATTGAAATGCCATTACTGAAACGCCTCGAACCACAGGTAGCCTTGAGCAACCAAGCTGTTCCAAAAAGGGTTATTCTGCGACACCATACTGTGCACGCTATATCTGCGTCATATTTTGCAGCCATTTCGACGATCGCGTCATCTATGTAGGAATCCGAGAGCTTGGGAAGGAGGATGCCCTTATCAGCATTGCCGACGCACTGAATGTAAGTCCGCCTTTGGTGCTTTTAGAAAGTCTAGGGGCGTGGCAGTGGATGTTGCAATGATTGCTTTAGGTAGCTTCTCCGTGGACCGAGTGCGTAAGCTACTCCCCAGTCACCTGTGACGTTTCCGACTGGGTTTCTGTTGGCATATGGGCTTAGTTCGGTCATGATCATCACACAGGGTGTGCAGTGGTTTGCGTACTATTGTAGCTATTCGCGTCGCTGCTGCATCTGCCCTCGGCTGCCTTTACCGCACGACACCGCTGCCACCTTGTGGGAGGGATGGCAACTGTAACCGTGCTCTTGGCCGCCAGGTGAAGGTGCACGTGAGCGCGTCGCGGCTCCGGCTGCTGCGTCTGTTCACCGACTCGGACGTGTTCACCACTCAGCCGTCGGAAGCGCGACTGCACGTCGTGCCGTTCAGGAACATCACGCGGTACGCTGAGCCCGCTAGCGACGGGCGGCCGACCGTGGCGCTGCTGCTGACAGCGCTCTTCGTGGGCTGGCCCGGCCCAGCGCCTTACAGCGGCGGGAAGGTGCAGGTAAGACGCGCGGCCCCTCCCCTGCAGCGGCGGGAAGGTGCAGGTAAGACCACGGCTCTTCCTCGGCAGCGGTGTCAGGCTGCGGGTGTGGGAAGTGGTCTCTGCAGGCAGTGCGACGGAGCGCGATTAGTGGCGACACGGCCGACGGTTTTCGAATTTCTTGAAGTCATCACTGAACAGCTTTAGTGACTGGGTCCATATTCATCAAGGACCTCAGCTGGACAGCTTCAGTGGTCAGGTCAGTGTTCAGCAGGTGCCTTAGCTGAACAGATTCAGTGGTTATGTCAGTATTCAGCAGGCACCTCAGCTGAATAGCCTCAGTGGTCAGGTCAGTATTCAGTAGGCACCTCAACTGAAGGGATTCAGTGGTCAGGTCAGTATTCAGCAGGCGCCTTAGCTGAACAGATTCAGTGGTCATCTCAGTATTCAGCAGGCACCTCAGCTGAATAGCCTCAGTGGTCAGGTCAGTATTCAGTAGGCACCTCAGCTGAAGGGATTCAGTGGTCAGGTCAGTATTCAGCAGGCGCCTTAGCTGAACAGATTCAGTGGTCAGGTCAGTATTCAGCAGGCACCTCAGCTGAACAGATTCAGTGGTCAGGTCAGTATTCAGCAGGCACCTCAGCTGAACAGATTCAGTGGTTAGGTCAGTATTCAGCAGGCGCCTCAGCTGAACAGATTCAGTGGTCAGGTCAGTATTCAGCAGGCGCCTCGGCTGAACAGATTCAGTGGTCAGGTCAGTATTCAGCAGGCGCCTCAGCTGAACAGATTCAGTGGTCGAGTCAGTATTCAGCAGGCGCCTTAGCTGAACAGATTCAGTGGTCAGGTCAGTATTCAGCAGGCACGTCAGCTGAACAGATTCAGTGGTCAGGTCATATTCAGTAGGCACCTCAGCTGAACAGATTCAGTGGTCAGGTTAGTATTCAGCAGGCGCCTCAGCTGAACAGATTCAGTGGTCAGGTTAGTATTCAGCAGGCACCTCAGCTGAACAAAGTCGGTGGTCAGGTCAGTGTTCAGCAGGCACCTCAGCTGAACAGATTCAGTGGTCAGGTCATATTCAGTAGGCACCTCAGCTGGACAGCTTCAGTGGTCAGGTCAATATTCAGCAGGCACCTCAGCTGAACAGATTCAGTGGTCAGGTCAGTGTTCAGCAGGTACCTTAGCTGAACATATTCAGTGGTCAGGTCATATTCAGTAGGCACCTCAGCAGGATGGCTTCAGTGGTCAGGTCAGTATTCAGCAGGCGCCTCGGTTGTGTTCATCCCGACGCATGCCCCTCATCCCCGAGCGACAGGACTTCGTCGCCCATCCAGCACACGACAGGCTGGTTACCATTACCTGTAGCTACGCTGAATCCGCCTTATTCAAGCGGACTTCCAAACTCTTGCATGAAAGGGGTGAATATTTCTTACTTCAAATGTTTTTTATCTTCGAAGCCCGAGCGAACACCGCGGGAAAGCTATGTGCCGTAGTGAAGTTATCACTGCGTGAAAGTGACAGTCGACTTTCATTGGGCCCGTGGTAAGGGAAAAACGCCGCGTAATGGAAATGGCCACAGCATTGGGAGAAACCAGCAGGAAGAAAGGCGTCAAACTGATGAGCACCGGATGAAACGACTTATGACAGTTTATTTTTTAGGGGTCAGTCCGCTTTTACAACGTTCCCTCCTTTTTATGGAAATTTGGACAAGGCGGATGCGCCTTTGCGCTTAACCTGCACGTTTCAAGCTGACAACAGGGCATATGAGTGCTCTATGGCCTCGTTCTCAGAATGCTGTATGACAAATTGAAAACGGCGATATAATTTTGCGTACCAGATTACGTCGACAGCGTTCGTATCCTTCCCTGTGTTCACCAAGACCAAGGTCACGCCTGGTCGATTTTAAAGTGCATGGGTTACCGAACATGCCATGAACCGATTGATTGCGAGGTGCCAGATGCAGTCCGGGGTCACACCACGCCAAGCCATATTTTCAAAACCACCCAAAATAGTGTTTGTGGGGTTTTCAGTGCGCCAGTATCAACCTAGTGTGGTCCGGTTACGTGCGATAATGATGATGCTGGCGCACTGAGAAATCTACGAATACTATTTTGGGTGGTTTTGAAAATATGGCTTCACGTGGCGTGACCTCGAGCTGCATCTGACACCTCGCAAGCAATCAAATCGCAAAGGCCATAGGCAATCGCAATCAATCAAATCGCTTCGGAGATCGTTCGAGGTTTTATAATGACTTCAGGTGATCTGGTACTTTTGGAAGGAGATGATGCATGCTTCGACTTCTCGGATTCCTGTGTGCTCATATGCACCCTGGCCCGATATGACAAAAGCAGGGTTTTACGCTGCTTGACCAGACCTGACAGGCCAACGGTGCGAGATGCCACAAAGTTGCTGGCGTGCATTAGGACTCGCCGAAAATGATTCGCCTTACGTAGGATATTGGCCTATCCTGGAACACCTTATAGTATATAATACCCTATATAGTATGTAATACCCTAATATAATACCCTATAGAGTATGAAAGCCAAGGTAGCAAAGCCAACCAGGCAACATACATAATCGAGCACATCTCCCCATGGCTGTTATGGCTGCAGCATGCTGTCTCGCGGGGGCGCGCTGGTCCGACTGTGCTGCGGTGATCTCCGCTCACTGTGTGTGCTGAGTTACTTCTCGTGGGAGGTTTGAGGCACTGGAACTTTCCACAGCATCACCTCTGCCTCTGATCGTTTGGGTATACCATCCATGGTGTAGTTCCTGCGCAACGGGGTTGTCCCGACGGCTTCCACTTTCCCGGTGTCCTGTTGGACAAAGAAGAGAGATTGAAATGGACTGCATGAAGTGGAGCACCATCCTCCGTGTAGAAAGACACCTAAAAGCTTGCTCGCCGCTTCCTCCGCATTTCGCGGACACCATAACGTGAAAATGTGTGTGAGTTTTGCGATGCCGATGCACTGTTCTCGCATCTATGAATAACCCGGCGTCCCATTGTGATCTTTCGGCAGGTGTTCCCGTATGGCGATCACTCGTCATTTCCCGAGCTGTGTGAGCTGGTGCGCCAGGTGCGTCCGCGCCGAGTGGTGCCCGTGGTCCGGCGCTGGGCGTCGCGCGGCTGGTTTGCGCATCGAGACCTGTCGAGCCGCAGCGACATGACCGTCTTTCGTACCTACCTGACCACCGAGCCGCCGGCGCTGGCACCCGCCGCTGCCGGAGACGGACCCGCCGACCAGCAGGCCGCTGCCGCTGCCGCCGCGCGCCGGCTTCAGGCGGGGCAGCCGGCGGCGCCCGCTGGTCAGGCAGAAGGGGCCGGTGAACAGCAGTGTCAGGCACGGGCGACACCGACCGCACCTGAGGCGCGCCGAGACTCGCCAGAGCGGTGGCCGTCCCAGCCGGACGGACCCGCATGCCCCGGCTACCCGATGGAGCCGGGGCAGGCGGAGGAGCCGGCCGGCGACCAGCCACTGCCGAACGACCCCCGCCGCTGGCCCTACACGATCCTAGACGGCCGGCTGGTGCGGCTGCGACACGTGCTGTTCACCCCAGCCGAGGTGGAGGCCTGGCTAGGGGGCCGCTGTGCCGAAGTGTCTTCCTCCTGCGACTGAGCGCCGGCCCCAGGAGGCTGGCATCCGTCACTGGGCTGACCCCAGGACCGGCCGGAGGGGACCGCCATCCGTCACTGGGCTGACCCCAGGACCGGCCGGAGGGGACCGCCATCCGTCACTGAACTGACCCGAAGACCGTCTCCAGGGGGCTGGCATCCGTCACTGAGCTGACCCCAGGACCGGCCGGAGGGGACCGCCATCCGTCACTGAACTGACCCGAAGACCGTCTCCAGGGGGCTGCCACCCGTCACTGAGCTGACCCCAGGACCGGCCGGAGGGGACCGCCATCCGTCACTGAACTGACCCCAGGACCGGCCGTAGGGGACCGCCATCCGTCACTGAACTGACCCAGAGGGCGTCTCCAGGGGGCCGCCATCCGTCACTGGGCTGACCCCAGGACCGGCCGTAGGGGACCGCCATCCGTCACTGAACTGACCCAGAGGGCGTCTCCAGGGGGCCGCCATCCGTCACTGAGCGGGCCTCAGCAACAACTGTTTGGTCTCCAGTTATGAAGCCTGACGGAACGGAGTCTTGCGGATCTTGCGGATCGACTGGGTCTTGCGGATCTTGGCATCCGTCACTGGGACTGGGTCTTGCGGATCGACTGGGTCTTGTGGATGAAGATCCTGACGGAGTCTTGCGGATCGACTGGGCGCTGACGTCTTTCATGCGTTTGTGCAAATTATAGACGCGGGGAGCGTTCAACGTCGCTAATCGTGTCATTTTTGTAACAGCCACCAATACTTGTATGTGTATTTAATGGACCGCCTCGTACCAACGCTGTTTTTTTGTTGTTGGCAGTTTGGCTTTTTTCTCGTCCGTTCACTGAATCTAGCCGATAGGTTGGATGATCATGCACTTGACTAAGATTGTCACCCGAAGACCTCGCCGCACTGGGTTTTCTTAACGCGCTCTGGTGGGGGTCCATTTGACCACTCGAAGGTTTTTCAAAAATGGTTTTCCAACGGCGTGGCGCATTTGCGCAAAACTTTGCATAGCTGTAGAGAACTGAATGGTATATCTTTCGATGTGAAAATTATATTTACCTTGCAAGGTCACCGACCTATAGAAGGTCGAGGTCAGGCCGTGGCCGTCAACAAAGGGCATTTCTAAGAAATCGTTGATGCCAAGCGGCAACGGAGTGTTAGACAAAGCCATTCATATCTGAGATACCTTGGGCAGAAAGCCAACTGAGCCGACAATTACAACAAATGTCATTAACATAGGGTCAGGTATGAAGGCCAGGATGAGGTCAAAGCCAGTATGCGTTTTTTGCTCGCGAGCTTGGCTTATGGGTTAGTTAGTGGTGCTCATTTTGAATTTATTAACGACAGAGACCGCAACAGTCATGTTTCATGGACTGTTTTAAAGTCTGAGTAGGTCACTGACCTTAAATGACCTAGGTCAACATTTTCCTTCAGGAACACACCGCCTAGCGTATTGCCTGACGCTTGATAGGAGCAATAGGATAGCATGGCAATTGATTATATAATAAGATGATATAACAATGATACAACAATAATGAATAATAGCAATAGTTGACAATAGCGATGGTGGATAATAGTAAATAAGATAATACAACATTACTATATAATGACAATAGGCAAAATAACAATCTCGCATGTATTTGGTTAACTTGACCTTATAAAGGTCAAACAAGGTCATTGATCCTAATTGAACGCCACTGAACTTTTACTTAGAACAGGTAGCTAGTTTTACGGCGGTTGCATGAAGGGGTCTAGGGACACATGGGACACCAATCTCGAGTTTGACTTTTTTACCAGATTTGACTATCAGATCATAATCTAGGAACCTCAAGTTTTGACTCAGTGTGTCCACATGCAGTTCAACCCACCATGTGAATTCGGTGTCTCTAGCAGTCTCAGTTTTCGAGATTCTAGGGGGTCAAATTGACCCTCCCTCCCGACTGAAGGGTATCCAACCATCCACCCGGGCGCGCGTTTAAGTTGTCTGCTCGGTAACCCCTGTTGGTCCGCGGCTGTTCAGCCGGTCTGTTCGGCGACCACTGCCGGTCCGTGGATGCTCAGCCGGTCCGCTCGGAAACCACTACCGGTCTGTGGCTGCTTAGCTGGTCTTCTCGGCGACCGCTGCCGGTCCGTGGCTGTTCAGCTGTTCTGTTTGGCGACCACTGCCGGTCCGTGGCTGTTCAGCTGGTCCGCTCGGCGACGGCTGCTGGTGGGTGGCGTTGGGTCCCGCTACACGTCCGTTCCTTCAGTTTGTCACGTGCTCAAGCAACGCTACTGACGTGCACGAGTCTGGCTTCAAGCAGCGCTACTGACGTGCACGAGTCTGGCCTTACACAACGCTACTGACGTGCACGAGTCTGACAGGATCAAGCGATATGGGCAGCTTGGTGACCTTGGGTCGCGCTTAGCGATGTATGTGAACATACCCAGCACCGGCGTATCAGCTGCTAAGCGTTCATTCACTTCGTGAAGGTCAGCCTCGATAATACCAGCGACCTGGGCGGTTCTCACCGCGGCGCTGGGTGTGTCGAGCATCTCGTCTGTATCGCTGAGGCACCGCCCGGGAGTTCGCCTCATGACCTCAGAGACTTTGACAGTCTTTATTTGCGGCTTCAGGTCTGGGAGCGCCGTGTCCAGCTCAATGAGTTCGGAAAAATCCGTGTCCCAGCTGACGATGTGTAGGATGCTGCTGCTGGCCTGCTCGCGGCAAGTGACTGTTCTGCGGACTGCGCGCGAACGGTTTGCAATGCGACGTGAACAAAACCCTACGCTATGAATATAGGTTCGAAACAAAAAACTATATGCCATTGTACTCGTAATCGAACAAGGGACACGCCTCTTTATGTTTCATGTCGCCACGCTGCATGGTTTGGTATATATGAGCATGCGAAGCCGATGTAGTTTGGTTTGCAGGAAAATTTGACGTTGGAGTTGGTCTAGTGGGGTCAATTAACAACAGCAGACTTCTTTCCAACCGTGCTATCTATTTAAAGACAGTTACAGACGCGTTTTTTGCGCGGCTTTAACTTTCTAAGTTTGCAAACGTCGGGGAATCGCCCCCCCCCCTCCTACCAGTTCGCGTCATCAGACCGGCGCATCAAAATAAGGATTAATATTGTGGGCTGTCATCCTTTGTCTTTATTTAATATTATTAAATTTATTCCACGTATGGTGGTGTAAAAATCTGGACTTCAGATCATGAAAACATCAACCGTTACAGAATGACACATTTTGTTACCAGCACCCAATTATTGGTAGCAGTTAAATCAGCAACCCAACATTGCCTCTTGCATACAAGTAGCACGCGAATACAAGGCTTTCTGTGATGTTTGACTTTCCTCCAGGCAGGCGCTCTTCTTCCACCCTCGGCACTTCTCATGACCTCACGTTTAACACGCGCTCGGGTGGAGGGGTCAAATTGACTCCCCTCCCCCGAAGGTTTCTCCGGAGTGGTTTCCGAATGGTGCGGTGTAATCGCGCTAATTTTGCATATCTGTGGGCAATTGAACAGCGGACCGTGTGACTTAAAAATTTGGATTTACCTCGTAGGTCAGTCAGGCCATGCCTTCAGCGAAAGCAATTTGGAGGGAATCGTTCAGGCTGATCCAACAACGGAGTGGCAGACGAAATCAAACAGCGAAATGAAATGATCGGCCGACCGGACGGGCGACAGGAAATATACTGATTTGTCGCAAGCTTGTCACGGAAATGAGCGACCAACTAAAAATGGTGGGATATGTTTGTCGCTGGTTTGGGATGAAGTCTAAGAAGGATACTATTTTGCTGTAGGGTAGGATAAAGGGTCTTCACAGAAAGGCCTGCTGGTGTTATGGGACGAAATGTATTACCATTAAAGCCCCATGTAAAGTTGTGGAATGCGTACTGTAACATTTTGTTGTGGCCGTCGCCAAAAAAATCGGTCAAAAGTATTTTTGGCACCAAGGGGCGCTTGAAATTATGCATTTTTGTCGCCGACCCTATCTACCTAGTTGGCAAGTTTTAGCACCCCTAACGTCAGTTTCCCTCACCCATTGACATGGCCAGCTGAGCACCCGCGTCGTCGCAGCGTGTTAGCTTATCCGGGTGCATTGGGTGCCCAATCACTGGGCGGCGGGGTGGTGACTCACATGATAGGGAAGCATTCGGGTGCCAAAGGGAGTACGTGTCCTGTGCATCAGTGAGTGCTGAGTGAGGTGAGTTCAGTGGCACGTGCGAGCAGGAGGTAGGGTACTTCTCAGAGCTGTCCCTTACGCGTCGAGTGTTATTCTATACATGCGAGTAATACATGATAATAGTTGCTGAAGCAGGGATAGGTTGATTTTGGAATTGAAATTTTGGACTGTATAAGGAGTGTGTCAGGCGTGATTTAGGAGTTTTGCGAGGCTACAGCACTATGAGCAATGCTGAACTGAGAGCTTGCCAAGCTTATTGAGCAAAAGCTAGGTGTCACGAAGGTTACATCTGGCAGATATATAACGCCGTTAAACACGAACAAAGGAATCACAGTGATTCGACCATGAACTGAGACGATGACCAAGTAAATAGTTCAGACAAGTGTGCAGAGGGGTAGGAGGAGAATTCCGGACATTTTGCCTAGCCCGTAACGTATGATAGCGGTCTGGTCCCTAGTCTGGTCTAGTTTAGTCCAGTCTCTATATATAGCATGTGACGTGACGTGAAACTGAAATGGCGTGATGTGACGCATCGGCACATAGCTATATGCCATTTATATGTGTGCTTGCAGCTAAGAGGTGCCATCAAAATACAACTTATTTGTTACATTGCAGACGCAGGACATGCTTGGCATGCATTAAAACAGGTATCTACATCATAAGGTCTACAACGTGGTGTGAGTTACCAAGCTATAACAACTGATGATCAATCAATCAGTCAGTTCATTGCAAACCACCGACATGGCGGCCATTGCGGCCTCAGGGCATACAAGTGCAGTATGAAAAGACGAACACAAAATGTATACAAAAGTAATATGATCAATGGTCAAAGCGCTAAGACAGACCTACCAACGTACTATGGGCCGAATAAGATCAATTGTCAGTTGAATAAAACCGCATCGCGTAAAGCGGTCTTAAACGCGCTCAGCGTCGTGGCGTGCCAGACGCACGGTAGCAGGCGGTTCCAGGCCGCGGCTGGATACAAAAACTTATGGTGGTCAGTCGGTGTCTGCACAGGTGTAGACTGCCTCTGTCCGAGGCACGCGTTTCACGACTCGAAACAGCGGCGCGAGGGGCAAAAAGTGCGCGGCCCGCGTGAGGCGTACCTATCTCCTTCGGCGTCTTAAATACTTTTGTCACGTCGCTGTGCGCCACCATGAACTCGATCCTCGTCCATCCAAGGGAAGTTTAGAAACGGAGCTACATGATGGTGCTTTTGGTGCCGGTATTTACCCTTGCAGCAAAGATGATTGTTCTTTTTCTATTTTTGTTTGTTTGACTCTTGTTTGCCCCACCCCGTACCCGTAACCAGTTCGCCATGTGAGGGAATACGTATATCATATACATGTATATATATATA